CAGTTTTTCTATTAAATATAAGAATTTAAAACAATTTTTTAAAGAAAATTTTGTGTATAACACAATTTTCTATAGAAAATTTTGTGTATAAAACTATTTTCTATAGAAAATTTTGTGTATAAAACTATTTTCTATAGAAAATGTTGTGTATAACACTATTTTCTGTAGAAAATGTTGTGTATATTTTCTATAGAAAATGTTGTGTATAACACTATTTTCCATAGAAAATTTTGTGTATAAAACTATTTTGTATAGCTGGATTTTTGCATAACACTACTTTCTATAGTTGTTTTTTTGTATAACACTACTTTCTACAGAAAATTTTGTTTTCTATAGACAATTTTCTGTATCACTTAATTTCATATAGAATATTTTGAGTGTAACATAATTATCTATAGAAAATGTTTTGTTTAAAACACTTCTATGGACAATGTATAAAACATTTTTCTATAAACAATTTCGAGTAGAACAGAATATATAACGTCAAATTTATGATACTCATCTGGCAACCTTGTTTGCAACATCATTACTCTCGCTCTCTTCTTCCTGTTTCCTTTTTTATTCATCAGTTTCCAATTGCAATTCTAGTGATGCGCGTTGTTTTGTGTGCAAAAATCGTAATCAAGTGTAAAAAATAAAAAAAAATTGTTAAATTTCATGAAATATTTTTAATATTTTATTCAAATAATAGTTTTGTAATGTTAGTTAATGTTTTAATAAGAGAAAAAGTTGTTTTATTCTGAAATGTAAGAAAAACTTTCTGCAAAAAAATTCCTCAAGTTTTTTGTTTACTTTTGGTGTTTGTGGGTAAGTTTTGTTTTTTATTTGTTGTAGTGTAGGGTGTAGAGTTGCGAAATCTTTACAGCAACAAGTGGGGAAAATACAGAGGTTAATAACCATTATTGCAACGTTTAAAAAGGTCAAAATTAAGATATTAGTTTGTTTTATTACGCCTTTCACTCTCCCTTTAACAGTTTCATTGAAAATGTAAACTTTAATACAGAGTAGATTTCCGGCAGCAGCGCAGCCATCAATTTTAAGTCATTTAAACTAGATGTCGACTAGAATATAGACTAGACTATAGACTAGACTATAGACTAGACTATAGACTAGACTAGACTAGACTATAGACTAGACTATTGCTTAGACTATAGACTAGACTACAGACTAGACTATAGACTAGACTATAGACTAGACTATAGACTAGACTATAGACTAGACTATAGACTAGACTATAGACTAGACTATAGACTAGACTATAGACTAGACTATAGACTAGACTATAGACTAGACTATAGACTAGACTATAGACTAGACTATAGACTAGACTATAGACTAGACTATAGACTAGACTATAGACTAGACTATAGACTAGACTATAGACTAGACTATAGACTAGACTATAGACTAGACTATAGACTAGACTATAGACTAGACTATAGACTAGACTATAGACTAGACTATTGATTAGACTATAGACTAGACTATAGACTAGACTATAGACTAGAATATAGACTAGACTATAGACTAGACTATTGATTAGACTATAGACTAGACTATAGACTAGACTATAGACTAGACTATAGACTAGACTATAGACTAGACTATAGACTATAGACTAGACTATAGACTAGACTATAGACTAGACTATTGATTAGACTATAGACTAGACTATAGACTAGACTATAGACTAGACTATAGACTAGACTATAGACTAGACTATAGACTAGACTATAGACTAGACTATAGACTAGACTATAGACTAGACTATAGACTAGAGTATAGACTAGACTCTAGACTAGACTATAGACTAGACTATAGACTAGACTATAGACTAGACTATAGACTAGACTATAGACTAGACTATAGACTAGACTATAGACTAGACTCTAGACTAGACTATAGACTAGACTATAGACTAGACTATAGACTAGACTATAGACTAGACTATAGACTAGACTATAGACTAGACTATAGACTAGACTATAGACTAGACTATAGACTAGACTATAGACTAGACTATAGACTAGACTATAGACTAGACTATAGACTAGACTATAGACTAGACTATTGCTTAGACTATAGACTAGACTACAGACTAGACTATAGACTAGACTATAGACTAGACTATAGACTAGACTATAGACTAGACTATAGACTAGACTATAGACTAGACTATAGACTAGACTATAGACTAGACTATAGACTAGACTATAGACTAGACTATAGACTAGACTATAGACTAGACTATAGACTAGACTATAGACTAGACTATAGACTAGACTATAGACTAGACTATAGACTAGACTATAGACTAGACTATAGACTAGACTATAGACTAGACTATAGACTAGACTATTGATTAGACTATAGACTAGACTATAGACTAGACTATAGACTAGAATATAGACTAGACTATAGACTAGACTATTGATTAGACTATAGACTAGACTATAGACTAGACTATAGACTAGACTATAGACTAGACTATAGACTAGACTATAGACTAGACTATAGACTAGACTATAGACTAGACTATAGACTAGACTATAGACTAGACTATAGACTAGACTATAGACTAGAGTATAGACTAGACTATAGACTAGACTATAGACTAGACTATAGACTAGACTATAGACTAGACTATAGACTAGACTATAGACTAGACTATAGACTAGACTATAGACTAGACTATAGACTAGACTATAGACTAGACTATAGACTAGACTATATGACTAGACTATAGACTAGACTATAGACTAGACTATAGACTAGACTATAGACTAGACTATAGACTAGACTATAGACTAGACTATTAGACTTAGACTTATAGACTAGACTATAGACTAGATATAGACTAGACTATAGACTAGACTATAGACTAGACTATAGACTAACTATAGACTAGACTATAGACTAGACTATAGACTAGACTATAGACTAGACTATAGACTAGACTATAGACTAGACTATAGACTAGACTATAGACTAGACTATAGACTAGACTATAGACTAGACTATAGCTAGACTATAGACTAGACTATAGACTAGACTATAGACTAGACTATAGACTAGACTAAGACTAGACTAGACTAACTATAGACTAGACTATAGACTAGACTATAGACTAGGACTACTTAGACTAGAGACTAGACTAGACTACTAGACTAGACTATAGACTAGACTATAGACTAGACTATAGACTAGACTATAGACTAGACTATAGACTAGACTATAGACTAGACTATAGACTAGACTATAGACTAGACTATAGACTAGACTATAGACTAGACTATAGACTAGACTATAGACTAGACTATAGACTAGACTATAGACTAGACTATAGACTAGACTATAGACTAGACTATAGACTAGACTATAGACTAGACTATAGACTAGACTATAGACTAGACTATAGACTAGACTATAGACTAGACTATAGACTAGACTATAGATTAGACTATAGACTAGACTATAGACTAGACTATAGACTAGACTATAGACTAGACTATAGACTAGACTATAGACTAGACTATAGACTAGACTATAGACTAGACTATAGACTAGACTATAGACTAGACTATAGACTAGACTATAGACTAGACTATAGACTAGACTATAGACTAGACTATAGACTAGACTATAGACTAGACTATAGACTAGACTACAGACTAGACTATAGACTAGACTATAGACTAGACAATAGACTAGACTATAGACTAGACTATAGACTAGACTATAGACTAGACTATAGACTAGACTATAGACTAGACTACAGACTAGACTATAGACTAGACTATAGACTAGACTATAGACTAGACTATAGACTAGACTATAGACTAGACTATAGACTAGACTATAGACTAGACTATAGACTAGACTATAGACTAGACTATAGACTAGACTATAGACTAGACTATAGACTAGACTATAGACTAGACTATAGACTAGACTATAGACTAGACTATAGACTAGACTATAGACTAGACTATAGACTAGACTATAGACTAGACTATAGACTAGACTATAGACTAGACTATAGACTAGACTATAGACTAGACTATAGACTAGACTATAGACTAGACTATAGACTAGACTATAGACTAGACTATAGACTAGACTATAGACTAGACTATAGACTAGACTGTAGACTAGACTATAGACTAGACTATATACTAGACTATAGACTAGACTATAGACTAGACTAGACTAGACTATAGACTAGACTATAGACTAGACTATAGACTAGACTATAGACTAGACTATAGACTAGACTATAGACTAGACTATTGTTTAGACTATAGACTAGACTATAGACTAGACTATTGTTTAGACTATTGTTTAGACTATAGACTAGACTATAGACTAGACTATTGATTAGACTATTGATTAGACTATTGATTAGACTATAGACTAGACTATAGACTAGACTATAGACTAGACTATAGACTAGACTATAGACTAGACTATAGACTAGACTATAGACTAGACTATAGACTAGACTATAGACTAGACTATAGACTAGACTATAGACTAGACTATAGACTAGACTATAGACTAGGCTATAGACTAGACTATAGACTAGACTATAGACTAGACTATAGACTAGACTATAGACTAGACTATAGACTAGACTATAGACTAGACTATAGACTAGACTATAGACTAGATTAGATACTAGTCTATACTATAGACTATACTATAGAATAGACTATAGACTAGACTATACTTTAGACTATACTACAGACTTGACTCTACTATTGACCAGACTATAGATTAGACTAAAATAAATAACCCTTTAAATAAAACAACATTTTTTGTAATTATAAATTTTCTAAATATTTTCTTATTTTCTTGTCTTGTTTTGCTTTTAATAAATATTTAATAATCATAATAATTTTTATTGATCATCATTACATATTTAATTAAAATTATTATTCATTCTATTATGTTTGTATAGCAGTGAAAATAAAATTTTGCTATATTATTATTTTTTTTTTAAATTTAGATTTAATTTTGTTTTCGATTTCGTTTGTTTGTTCTTAGTAAAGGCAAAATAATAAAAGCTTTTAAACAATTTTTTTATGTATTATGTTAATTATTTTAACTAAACACTATTTACAAAATATGTAATTAAAAATTAATAAAAAAAGTAAATCAAATAATATTTTTGTTCGCTTAGTTGCAATTTGTTCTATGACATGATTCTTTTATATTTTAATTCTTTTTGTCATTTATTGATACAATGAAATAGTTTTGTGATTTAATTAATATTTTTTAATTATTTTTGTGTTTATCAGAAAAAAAGTAAAATAATGTATAAGTTTGGGCATTTAAATGTTTACGTACAAATTAATTTAAATTTAGAGACTTGTTCTTAAGATTTAAAATTTAGTATTAAGATTTCATTCATTTAGGATTCAGTGTTGTTGTTGTGTATGTGTGGGTTTTTTAATCACAATTTCTTAAAATTCTAAAATTGTACTGCAATATGGTGTTGCCATCGTGCGGTCGTTCTTGGCAAATATTTGTCTAAAATTAAAGAGAGAAATAAATGTTAGTTTTATTCACGAAAGAAAATAACAAAGTCTATAAACTAGACTATAGACTAGAGTATAGACTAGAGTATAGACTAGAGTATAAACTAGACTATAGACTAGACTATAGACTAGACTAAGACTAGACTATAGACTAGACTAGACTAGACTATAGACTAGACTATAGACTAGACTATAGACTAGACTATAGACTAGACTATAGACTAGACTATAGACTAGACTAACTAGACTAGACTAGACTATAGACTAGACTATAGACTAGACTATAGACTAGACTATAGACTAGACTATAGACTAGACTATAGACTAGACTATAGACTAGACTATAGACTAGACTATAGACTAGACTATAGACTAGACTATAGACTAGACTATAGACTAGACTATAGACTAGACTATAGACTAGACTATAGACTAGACTATAGACTAGACTATAGACTAGACTATAGACTAGACTATAGACTAGACTATAGACTAGACTATAGACTAGACTATAGACTAGACTATAGACTAGACTATAGACTAGACTATAGACTAGACTATAGACTAGACTATAGACTAGACTATAGACTAGACTATAGACTAGACTAGACTAGACTATAGACTAGACTATAGACTAGACTATAGACTAGACTATAGACTAGACTATAGACTAGACTATAGACTAGACTATAGACTAGACTATGACTAGACTAGACTATCAGACTATAGACTAGACTATAGACTAGGACTATAGGACTAGACTATAGACTAGACTATAGGACTAGACTATAGGACTAGACATAGACTAGACTTCAATACTAGACTAGACTATAGACTAGCACTATAGACTAGACTATATGACTAGACTATAAGACATAGACTATAGACTAGACTATAGACTAGACTATAGACTAGGACTATAGACTAGACTATAGACTAGACTATAGACTACTTATAGAGCTATACTATAGACTAGACTTCAGACTAGACTATAGACTAGACTATCGACTAGACTATAGACTAGACTATAGACTAGACTATACCTGACTATAGACTACCTATAGACTAGACTATAGACTAGACTATAGACTACACTATAGACTAGACTATAGACTACATTATAGACTAGACTATAGACTACACTATAGACTAGACTATAGACTAGACTATAGACTAAACTATAGACTAGACTATAGACTAAACTATAGACTAGACTATAGACTAGATTATAGACTAGACTATAGACCAGACTATAGACTAGACTATAGACCAGACTATAGACTATACTATAGACTAGACTATAGACTAGACTATAGACTAGACTATAGACTAGGCTATAGACTAGACTATAGACTAGACTATAGACTAGACTATAGACTAGACTATAGTCTAGACTATAGTCTAGTTTATAGACTAGACTATAGACTAGACTATAGTCTAGACTATAGTCTAGTTTATAGACTAGACTATAGACTAGACTATAGTCTAGAGTCTACATAGAGTCTAGTCTATAGACTAGACTATAGACTAGTCTATAGTCTAGTCTATAAACTATACTATAGTCTAGACTATAAACTAGACTATAGTCTAGACTATAAACTAGACTATAGTCTAGACTATAGACTAGACTATAGTCTAGACTATAGACTAGACTATAGTCTAGACTATAGACTAGATTCTTGACTAGACTATAGACTAGACTATAAACTAGACTATAGACTAGAAAGTATACTAGACTATATACTAGACTTTAAACTAGAACTAGTCTAGACAGTTCAAATCTTAACAAAAGTATGGTCGGTCTCATTGGTCTGTAAGAACCATAAAAACTCTCACCTTTTCCGGATCATTGGTGGCACGTAATATTAAATCTTTAACAAAATAGCCCCGACTAGGGACATTAAGTAGAAGTAAAGAGGTGTTACGTCTACGTTGTAAAACATTTTGTGAATGTTCATGTAAATTGCAGAGGACCCATTGTAAAGGTAATGAAGATCTATAAATAAGAAATTAAAAATCATTAATTACTCTTGAAAATATAGTGAAAGATCAATACTAACGTTAAATGTAATTCAATACTTTGTTCCTTAAAGAAACGCGATAGCGGTATGACAAATGTCTTATTCACAGATTTACCCAATTTGGGACAAAAATCATCTGTGGCAAAAGTATTATTTAAACGTTCCGCCCATATACAACTGCGTATTTTCCAACAATCTGTTTCATCAGGTGGTAAATCTGGATCTACGGACAATTTAGGTTGCACTATGCCAATCTCGATTTTATCCTTTTTAACTTTTTTCGTCTCCTCATCAACGGTTTCATCGGAGAAGGTATGCTCCAATAGCACATCTAAATTTTCAGCATCTTCTGGACGTTCTGCCTCAGTAGCTAGTTGTTTTGAAGGAGTTTGTTTATTATGGGCAGTTCTTCCTTGCGGCAATGAGGCCGCCAATATGGCGCCATCTAGCGTTTCTTTATTTTTAACATTACCATTATAGGTCGACTGTAAGTCATCGTCGGTATCATTTATAATTGCATCATTATCTTCAGATTCACTGTGATTTTCATTATCGATTTCCTCTTGTTGTAGAGAGGGTTTAATCTTTTGGCTTCCGCAGGTCTTAAGCTTAAATTTGATTGATTGGGGGCCAAGAGTTGATTGTTTTCTTCGAAACAAACGGACTAAAAGGAAATAATGAATCAAAATTCGTACTACTTAGCAATTTTTGATACCTACCTGACAGTTAGATATATCCTCACGTTTTGTTTTACTATTACATTGTTCGGGCTCGCCAAAGGTATTAACATAAGCTATGGAATTTTGTACCCATACATTTGCAATTTCTTGCTGATTACCCGTACTCCCAGCGGATGATGGTGATGAAGAACGACGTCCTAAAAGCGATTGACGATCATCTAAACCTAAAATAAAATTCTCCGGATTGCCAATAATATCGGTGGCACTATAGATCGATTCATTGTTATCATTAGAAAGTTGTTGCAATAGATCCGAATTGTCAGTGGTACGATCCACAAAATTGCGACTTTTATTTGTAATAGATTGAGTCTCCAACGAGTTATTTGTATGAGGAGCATCAGTATTGACTTTATTCGTAATGCTGCGACTACTTGTGGTGCTAGTAGTGGCTGTAGGCGGTGAGACAGTTTTGTATATAATCAACTCTCCTCCCTTGGGATTGGTGTGTCTTAAAAGATTCGATTGGGTGGCGGAATTTTCTATAACAAGTCCCGTTTCATCTATAATATTACTGCTGGATGTGCTGACTATGGGTAGGTCGACATTTAACTTTTGTATTTCACTATGAGTGGGAACTTTGGCTGCTGGTGCCCGTATTTTGGCCGGTGCTAACTTTACACGATTGTTGACTTGTTGTTGTTGGTGTGAGTCAGTGTCAATGGAATTATTTTCGAAATCTTGTTGAACATCGGCAATTTTCTCCGTCGAAGTTTCGCTCGCACTGTGTGAAACATTCTGCGGCGTCTCTTCATTTGCTTGACCATTTAAGTTAAGCGAACGTGTCGATGGTAGAGCATTACGATGCGTAGCTGATTGCATTACTCTTAAAACTATTTGCGGTTGCGGCCATTTGTTTTTATGTTTACTTATCGAAGTCTTATTGTTTCGTGCTAGTGTTGGAGCAACAGTGACCCTCTGTGGCTCATTGTAGACTTGCAAAAGTTCATGACTCACCGAAGGTTTTTCCATGACCACTGTTATTTCATCATTTCTCAACTGTTGAGCCGAAGAGGGATTACTAATATCATCCGGTGTACCCAAATATCTATAGTCTGCTCGTTGATATTCGCTGTGATTACGACTTTGAGATCTTGTTACACCTGTCCCCACCGCTCCTCCGCCTATAGCAATGGGAGATTGATAAGCAAATGACGGCCAGTGCGTATGATTTCTGGCTGATTTTAACATATTGATAAAATTGTGTTCCTGTTCCGTTAACGTTAGACCTTCATGGCCATATAGGTGGCCATTATTTAAGAGTTGTATGCTATCTAGATATTTTAGACTTTGTTGTTTCTTATTATGTTCGACAAAATATAAAGTGGAAACTGCGGCCAAACTGATAGATAGGAAAAGATAGGAAATAATTAGAAAAGCTGACCAAATTTTAAAAAAGTTGAAACCCAGAGACTAGTTACTTTTCTAATTCAAAAGTGAACTAAAATGAATTGAACTTGAATTGGAACTAAAACTGAACTAGGAACTGAACTAGAACTGAACTAGAACTGAACTAGAACTGAACTAGAACTGAACTAGAACTGAACTAGAACTGAACTAGAAATGAACTAGAACTGAACTAGAACTGAACTAGAACTGAACTAGAACTGAACTAAAACTGAACTAGAACTGAACTAAAACTGAACTAGAACTGAACTAGAACTGAACTAAACTGAACTAGAACTGAACTAGAACTGAACTAGAACTGAACTAGAACTGAACTAGAACTGAACTAGAACTGAACTAGAACTGAACTAGAACTGAACTAGAACTGAACTAGAACTGAACTAGAACTGAACTAGAACTGAACTAGAACTGAACTAGAACTGAACTGACTAGAACTGAAACTAGAACTGAACTAGAACTGAACTAGAACTGAACTAGACTGAACTGAACTAGAACTGAACTAGAACTGAACTAGAACTGAACTAGAACTGAACTAGAACTGAACTAGAACTGAACTAGAACTGAACTGAACTGAGAAACTGAACTGAACTAGAACTGAACTAGAACTGAACTAGAACTGAACTAGAACTGAACTAGAACTGAACTAGAACTGAACTAGAACTGAACTAGAACTGAACTAGAACTGAACTAGAACTGAACTAGAACTGAACTAGAACTGAACTAGAACTGAACTAGAACTGAACTAGAACTGAACTAGAACTGAACTAGAACTGAACTAGAACTGAACTAGAACTGAACTAGAACTGAACTAGAACTGAACTAGAACTGAACTAGAACTGAACTAGAACTGAACTAGAACTGAACTAGAACTGAACTAGAACTGAACTAGAACTGAACTAGAACTGAACTAGAACTGAACTAGAACTGAACTAGAACTGAACTAGAACTGAACTAGAACTGAACTAGAACTGAACTAGAACTGAACTAGAACTGAACTAGAACTGAACTAGAACTGAACTAGAACTGAACTAGAACTGAACTAGAACTGAACTAGAACTGAACTAGAACTGAACTAGAACTGAACTAGAACTGAACTAGAACTGAACTAGAACTGAACTAGAACTGAACTAGAACTGAACTAGACTGAACTAGAACTGAACTAGAACTGAACTAGAACTGAACTAGAACTGAACTAGAACTGAACTAGAACTGAACTAGAACTGAACTAGAACTGAACTAGAACTGAACTAGAACTGAACTAGACTGAACTAGAACTGAACTAGAACTGAACTAGAACTGAACTAGAACTGAACTAGAACTGAAACTAGAACTGAACTAGAACTGAACTAGAACTGAACTAGAACTGAACTAGAACTGAACTAGAACTGAACTAGAACTGAACTAGAACTGAACTAGAACTGAACTAGAACTGAACTAGAACTGAACTAGAACTGAACTAGAACTGAACTAGAACTGAACTAGAACTGAACTAGAAACTGAACTAGAATGAACTAGAACTGAACTAGAACTAACTGAACTAGAACTGAACTAGAACTGAACTAGAACTGAACTAGAACTGAACTAAACTGAACGAGAACTGAAACTAGAACTGAACTAGAACTCGAAACTAGAACTGAAAACTAGAACTGAACAGAATGAACGAATTGAACTAGAACTGAACTAGAATCTGAACTAGAAATGAACTAAGAACTGAAACTAGAACTTGAAACTAGAACTGAACTAGAACTGAACTAGAACTGGGAACAGAACTGAACTAGAACTGAACTAGAACTGAAACTAGAAACTGAACTAGAACTAGAAACTGAAACTAGAACTGAACTAGAACTGAACTAGAAACTGACTGAACTAGAACTGAACTAGAACTGAACTAGGAACTGGAACTAGAACTAGAACTCGAACTGAACTAAGAAACTGAACTAGAACTGAACTAAGAACTGAACTAGAACTGAACTAGAACTGAACTAGAACTGAACTAGAACTGAACTAGAACTGAACTAGAACTGAACTAGAACTGACTAGGACTGAACTAGAACTGAACTAGAACTGAACTAGAACTGAACTAGAACTGAACTAGAACTGAACTAGAACTGAACTAGAACTGAACTAACTAGAACTGAACTAGAACTGAACTAGAACTGAACTAGAACTGAACTAGAACTGAACTAGAACTGAACTAGAACTGAACTAGAACTGAACTAGAACTGAACTAGAACTGAACTAGAACTGAACTAGAACTGAACTAGAACTGAACTAGAACTGAACTAGAACTGAACTAGAACTGAACTAGAACTGAACTAGAACTGAACTAGAACTGAACTAGAACTGAACTAGAACTGAACTAGAACTAGAACTGAACTAGAACTGAACTAGAACTGAACTAGAACTGAACTAGAACTGAACTAAACTGAACTAGAACTGAACTAGAACTGAACTAGAACTGAACTAGAACTGAACTAGAACTGAACTAGAATGAACTAGAATTGAACTAGAACTGAACTAGAACTGAACTAGAACTGAACTAGAACTGAACTAGAATTGAACTAGAACTGAACTAGAACTGAACTAGAACTGAACTAGAACTGAACTAGAACTGAACTAGAACTGAACTAGAACTGAACTAGAACTGAACTAAAACTGAACTAGAACTGAACTAGAACTGAACTAGAACTGAACTAGAACTGAACTAGAACTGAACTAGAACTGAACTAGAACTGAACTAGAACTGAACTAGAACTGAACTAGAACTGAACTAGAACTGAACTAGAACTGAACTAGAACTGAACTAGAACTGAACTAGAACTGAACTAGAACTGACTGAACTGGAACTGAACTAGAACTGAACTAGAACTGAACTAGAACTGAACTAGAACTGAACTAGAACTGAACTAGAACTGAACTAGAACTGAACTAGAACTGAACTAGAACTGAACTAGAACTGAACTAGAACTGAACTAGAACTGAACTAGAACTGAACTAGAACTGAACTAGAACTGAACTAGAACTGAACTAGAACTGAACTAGAACTGAACTAGAACTGAACTAGAACTGAACTAGAACTGAACTAGAACTGAACTAGAACTGAACTAGAACTGAACTAGAACTGAACTTAGAACTGAACTAGAACTTCGAACTAGAACTGAACTAGAACTTGAACTAGAACTGAACTAGAACTGAACTAGAACTGAACTAGAACTGAACTGAAACTGAACTAGACGAACTAGAAGTTCTGAACTTAGAACTGAACTCGAACTGAACTAGAACTGAACTAGAACTGAACTAGAACTGAACTGAACTGAACTAGAACTGAACTAGAATCTGAAGAACCTGAACTAGAAACTGAAGTGAACTATAACTGAAATGAATGGGATTATAAAACTGAACTAGATTTCCACGCATTTTCAAATCTTAAGAAAGATAGGACTTCGAATCTCTGGGGTTAAAAATGTTTTGTCCCATTGCCTTAACTCACCTAGGCTTGCCATAACAATAACTAATCGAAATATAATAATTTGTAGTGTTCTATTCGAGCAAATTTCATAGCCATCCCGATTGCTCGTTATACTTTTGCAATGCAAAAACTGTAGCTCATTTTCTTTAGCACGCTGCAAACGGGTATTGACACGCTCCAAATTTTCTATGCGCGTCTCTAAAGTACCCGTTACTTTGCACAGTTCCTTGACGGCACCAATATTTTCCATAAGTATGCGATCCTTATTCACCAGTAGGAAATTTTCAATAACATTGCCGTTCGGCAGTACCACACTGCCAGCCTCTTGCACGGCATCGGGTATTACCTCGCGTACTTCCTGCGCAATTACCCCAGTGTCAACAATTTCTCCCGTATCTTTGTGACCTTTGAGACCAGCATGCAGTGCAAACTGGGGCTCTAGACGATAACGTACAATACGTATTTTTTGGAGATTGCGCAACTGTACCGATGTGTCTAATTCACCGATTTCCTGTTTGGCTCTACTATCACTGGGCTGCACTATATGACCAGAGATCTTAAGATTGCCATGCACCACTAGACTTTCATCGGGACGATCGGTATTAATACCCACACGACCGGCATGGTATATGGAGTCTTGGGTAAGACCACGTTGCCAACACAAATCAACATCCGATTCAAATTGTCCGGGATTAGAGGCACGTACTATGATTTTATCACTACCTTGGCTGATAATGGGAAAGTCGCCGGAAGCGGTATGGACATGCAAGGCAACAATAAGTTGGAAATAACGTTGTTCGGGATTTGGACGTCCCTTTTTGCGCATATTATTGTTGGTAGTTTCGGAGAAGTGTAAACGTCCCACTGTTACCTTACTAACAATGTGACTTTGGAGATCGATACTGAAAGTGAGATATTTAAAATTATTTATTACTCGATATTTCATATATCCTTTGGACATCCAAGCATTACACTGTGATAATGCTGGGACGTCTTTGTTTCAAATTCTTTATTTTCTTTAACTACTTACGGTACAGGAAAGAAAGGTTTCTTCGAACGATCCGATTGACTTTGTTCAATGCGTATAGTTTGATTGGGCGCCTCCAATTTCACCCCATAGAAATGCAAATGGAAGGACTTGATCTTCTCTAAACCGGACGGCGTTCTCACAAATTTAGCTTCACTTTGCAAGCGAGCATGGCAAGTTATTTGAAAATGATTCTTTTTCTGACACACAAACGCATCATCCGATACGGAGAAATTGAAACCTTTATCGGCATCGACCCGATAATAAACCACCGATATTTCTTGCAAATGCTGATCGCATAATTTATGCCAATTTTGCTGTTGAAAGGGTGAAAAACGTATGCAAGGACTTAGAGCATCACCACTTTGTGAAGAAGTATCGCAATTCTTGACACTACCATCCATATGCACCGAGGAGAGAGCCGGCGAAAGGGAAGCATTTGATGGGGCTGGTGTGTCCACCATATCATGGTTACTTAGTTGTATGTTGAGCGGTGATATAGATGATCTCTTGGAGCTGTCACCCGGCATGGGTGTGGAACAAACTGAACTGCGTGAGGGACTTAATATTAAACCTGGATCTGGCTTAACACATCGAAAATCGGGATCATCAATTTGTGTGGTCATTTTACGTTTACGCGACGATGACTGATGATTGGGGGTTGAGGGAGCCGAAGTTCTACTTAGTGTGGGCGTGGAGGGTATGCTGGTACCCACTACCTGCACATGTGGCAGATCACTTATGCTGCTTAACATACAGGTAGATGTTTCCACTACTGAGGGATGTTCGAGGTGGTTCAAATTAATCTGATACGGTGGAGGAGGTGCTGGTTGTCCGGGATTTGCATACAATTTGTTCGTTAGACTTTCATAGTTAATTTGATTACTAGGGCTGCTGTTATGATGATTATGATTGTTGTTGGTGGCATACATAAGCTGTGTTTGCTGCTGCGGCTGTTGGCTAGGCATCTCAATATGAGTATCTAAGGAGTGTGAGGCATTCGAATGTAAGGTTTGCGTTAAGTTATTCGGATTGATTATGAGACCGGTTTCATGCTTCACACGTATCCCAGCATTCAAGGCTTCCTGGGTGGGGGGACTTGCCAAAGGATTAACATTCATGGGACTGTTTAGTAAATGTGTATAGTGATGTTGTTGTTGGGGTAATGGTGGCGGTTGTGGCGGATGATGCACCTGCATGTTGTGTAAATCATTAATAGCAGGAGTCGAGTTACTACCTCCCCCTCCTCCTCCTCCTGCGTGATTGTAAATATCACGTGTATTTAAGGTTAAACCCTGTACATCTTGCAATGGACTGTAGGGTGGTTCAGATCCAGAATCTGGTGGACTTTCGGGCAGGTGTGATAGTGTAGGATTATTGTTATTGTTACTGGAGTGATGTATACCAATATGTGGTGTTGCTGGCGCAGATGTTAAGCTAACTCGCGCTGAGACTGTTGGTATTGAGGGTAGGATTATGTCGGGTCCTATTGTTGTCATGGGCGAGGGCGAAGTTACGGGTGTTTCTGTTTTGGCTGTACATGGCAGTGTTAGGTTTTCACCACCATTGTTTGTAGTATTGCTGCTGTTGCTTCCATCTGGACCCAAGCGACCAAGACCCGCTGTTACTTGTAGATCTTCAAAAAAGATTGCTTCATTGTCAATTCCACCCACATAGTCTGCCCGGTCTGTAATGGAAAAAGTTTAATTTAAAAAATTTTATTTTTATAGCGGAATTCCTAAAATTACTTAATTATATCGCCTGCTGCCTTCCTTATCGATTCACATTGTAAAAATAGCTACAATCGTACAATAGTATGCCAATGTTCGATTCGACCATTCGTTCATGTCGAAAAGCGATAATAAGTACATTATTGTACATTGACTTCTAATGACGACTTAATAATAAATATTTGATAAATTTTTTTTAATTTACTTAAAATATTTCGACTTAATAAATGCATAATTACTGTTAATATTCAAGTACATGGTCTGGAAATAACGCAAAATAATGGTCACGATGCTATTTTATTTTATGCACAAAATTTTCATATTTTTTTATCGTAAATGTTTAAGAAAAAATTTATAAAAAAGTTCATTTAACTTTTATTTATACAAATTTTATAAAAAAAAGTTCAATTCTCTTTTGTAATGAATACATAGACTTGTGTTCAAATTTCAAATGAGTTTTTTAGTGGGCTTAGGATTTTGGTATGGAATGTTAACTTTTTGAAATTTTATCACAACTTTTGGGAATTAATATCCGGAATTTGTTATCAGGTTAATTGCCAAAAGGAATTTTGTGGTAGAAGTACATTTTCGGTGATAAATAAGAATTGTTAAGGAACCAAGTGGAGCCTAATGGTGGTAATTATATGAGAGCGAAGGTTCAAACTATGAACGCAACAGCACAGACTATAGACTAGACTATATACTAGTCTATACACTCAACTGTAGACTAGACCTATAGACAAGTCATAAACTTAACTGTAGACTAGGACTATAACCTAGACTATAGAATAGACTATAGAATAGACTATAGACTAGACTATAGACGAGAACTATAGACTACACTATAGACCAGACTATAGACTAGACCTATAGACTAGGACCTATAGACTAGACTATAGACTAGACTATAGGACTAGACTATAGACTAGAATGACTAGACTATAGACTAGACTATAGACTAGACTATAGACTAGACTATAGACTAGACTATAGACTAGACTATAGACTAGACTATAGACTAGACTATAGACTAGACTATAGACTAGACTATAGACTAGACTATAGACTAGACTATAGACTAGACTATAGACTAGACTATAGACTAGACTATAGACTAGACTATAGACTAGACTATAGACTAGACTATAGACTAGACTATAGACTAGACTATAGACTAGACTATAGACTAGACTATAGACTAGACTATAGACTAGACTATAGACTATAGACTAGACTATGACTAGACTATAGACTAGACTATAGACTAGACTATAGACTAGACGATAGACTAGACTATAGACTAGACTATAGACTAGACTATAGACTAGACTATAGACTAGACTATAGACTAGACTATAGACTTAGACTATAGACTAGACTATAGACTAGACTATAGACTAGACTATAGACTAGACTATAGACTAGACTATAGACTAGACTATAGACTAGACTATAGACTAGACTATAGACTAGACTATAGACTAGACTATAGACTAGACTATAGACTAGACTATAGACTAGACTATAGACTAGACTATAGACTAGACTATAGACTAGACTATAGACTAGACTATAGACTAGACTATAGACTAGACTATAGACTAGACTATAGACTAGACTATAGACTAGACTATAGACTAGACTATAGACTAGACTATAGACTAGACTATAGACTAGACTATAGACTAGACTATAGACTAGACTATAGACTAGACTATAGACTAGACTATAGACTAGACTATAGACTAGACTATAGACTAGACTATAGACTAGACTATAGACTAGACTATAGACTAGACTATAGACTAGACTATAGACTAGACTATAGACTAGACTATAGACTAGACTATAGACTAGACTATAGACTAGACTATAGACTAGACTATAGACTAGACTATAGACTAGACTATAGAACTAGACTATAGACTAGACTATAGACTAGACTATAGACTAGACTATAGACTAGACTAGACTATAGACTAGACTATAGACTAGACTATAGACTAGACTATAGACTAGACTATAGACTAGACTATAGACTAGACTATAGACTAGACTATAGACTAGACTATAGACTAGACTATAGACTAGACTATAGACTAGACTATAGACTAGACTATAGACTAGACTATAGACTAGACTATAGACTAGACTATAGACTAGACTATAGACTAGACTATAGACTAGACTATAGACTAGACTATAGACTAGACTATAGACTAGACTATAGACTAGACTATAGACTACTATAGACTAGACTATAGACTAGACTATAGACTAGACTATAGACTAGACTATAGACTAGACTATAGACTAGACTATAGACTAGACTATAGACTAGACTATAGACTAGACTATAGACTAGACTATAGACTAGACTATAGACTAGACTATAGACTAGACTATAGACTAGACTATAGACTAGACTATAGACTAGACTATAGACTAGACTATAGACTAGACTATAGACTAGACTATAGACTAGACTATAGACTAGACTATAGACTAGACTATAGACTAGACTATAGACTAGACTATAGACTAGACTATAGACTAGAATATAGACTAGACTATAGACTAGACTATAGACTAGACTATAGACTAGACTATAGACTAGACTATAGACTAGACTATAGACTAGACTATAGACTAGACTATAGACTAGACTATAGACTAGACTATAGACTAGACTATAGACTAGACTATAGACTAGACTATAGACTAGACTATAGACTAGACTATAGACTAGACTATAGACTAGACTATTATAGTTAGTTAGTTAGTTTGAAAGGAGGATGTATACCCATCAAATCCGAAGAAATACACCTAGGCCTCTATCGGGCCTGTTGTGCGCTCCTTAACCAGTGCCTCAGGTGGGAATCGAACATACCACCTCCGGTGTACCAGACTAGAACACTAACCACTAACCTACCGGAGGCCACTAGACTATTATAAATACTATAAATAATACTATAAACAGGATTATTAACTAGGCTATATACTAGGCTTTAGTCTAAACTATAAACTAAGATGTAAAAAATCAGTTTAAGATTTTAAAATAAATTAATAAACAAATATTTGGAAAATTATTGAACTTTGTCGAAAAAAAAGTGGGCGTGTAGAACTTAATATTGGAATTAAAATTAAAAAAAATAATGTCTATGCACAACCAAATTGAGACTTAAAAAAATTAAACACTAACCAAACGACCGAACGACTACTGATAACAATTATTTAACAAACAGCAAAAATTAAAAAATAAAAAAACACTTTGATCAATACAAATAAAATTATGATAAAATAAATTTGTTATTTTTTTGTTTTCTACTTCTAAACACTTAAATATTTACTACTAATTTAATAGTATTTATTATTTTGTCATGTATAAATAAATATTTAATTTAAATTAGCATGTTAATAATTACCATTGCAAGTTTTGTGATAATCCATAAGAATTTATACTTTCTATAATAAAGTTTTTTTTTTTTGATTATTTTATTTCTGTTGTTTTTACGTTTTTCACTATATTATCTTTTATTTTGTTATTTTTTTTTTTCAAATTCCGTTTGCTGGTGTTGAAATTAGAAAAAAATATTGAAAATCCCAACCGTTAATCAACTAACGAATGTTACAAATACGACTGGATTTCAATGTGAATAGTTTTCAGATTCTTTTTTACAGTTTGAGAGTTTATTAGTTAATTTTATTTTAGTTGTTTTTATTTTCGTTTCGTTTATTGTTTATAAAAAAATTATTATGTATTTGTTTTGTTTTTTGCTTTTAGTTTAAATTTGCTTTTACATTTAAACGATTTTTTTCTGTTAATTTTTTTTTGTTTTAGATTATTTTAGTTGTGAAAAAAGTAATGTTTGTTTTGATATCTGTGAATGTGAATTTAATGAGAGTTTTAAATGGGAATTGGTCGAATTGTGATCAGTAATTGGCGGACTACACTAGAGTCCATAGACTATAGAGCAGACTATAGACTAGAATATAGTCCACAATATAGAATAGACTAAACTATAATCCAGACCATGGACTAGACTATAGTCCAGACTATAGACTAGACTATAGTCCAGACTATAGACTAGACTATAGTCCAGACTATAGACTAAACTGTAGTCCAGACTATAGACTAGACTATAGTCCAGACTATAGACCAGACTATAGACTAGACTATAGACCAGACTATAGTCCAGACTATAGACTAGATTAAAGTTCAGATTATAGACTAGACTATAATCCAGACAGTAGAATAGACTATAGTCCAGACTGTAGAATAGACTATAGTCCAAACTGCACTATAGTGCAGAATATAGATTAAACTATAGTCCAGACTATAGACTAGCCTATAGTGCAGACTATAGACTAGAATATAGTCCAGACTATAGACTAGAATATAGTCCAGACTATAGACTAGAATATAGTCCAGACTATAGACTAGAATATAGTCCAGACTATAGACTAGACTATAGTCCAGACTATAGACTAGAAAGTAACCCAGACTATAGACTAGAATATAGTCCAGACTATAGACTAGACTATAGTCCAGACTATAGACTAGACTAGATTATAGTCCAGACTATAGTCTAGTCTATAGTCTGGCTTATAGACTAGACTATAGTCCAGACTATAGACTATAGTCTATAGTCTAGTCTATAGTCTGGCCTATAGACTAGACTATAGGCTAGACTATAGTCCAGACTATAGACTAGACTATAGTCCAGACTATAGACTGTAGTCCTAGAGTCTATAGTCTGGCCTATAGACTAGACTATAGGCTAGACTATAGACTAGACTATAGACTATAGGACTACAGTCTATAGTCTGGCCTATAGACTAGACTATAGGCTAGACTATAGTCCAGACTATAGACTAGACTATAGTCCAGACTATAGACTGTAGTCCTAGAGTCTATAGTCTGGCCTATAGACTAGACTATAGGCTAGACTATAGT